AGCTTAGTCAACACGTCCGACACCTCGTAGAGAAGCCCAGGGCGGTCATATCCCGTGAGTTCTATGACGGAATGCTCGAAGTCTATTGCATCAGCGACAGGCTTTCCTAAGCAGGTTTTTGCATCGGGAACAGGATGTTCTTTCGAAGCACCCAGCGCCTGCAAACGCAATGGGACAGCATTTCAGCATGTGAACGGAGGTCCACGAGTACGTTAACCAAAGGATGAAGCTTACCTTTTCAATGAAGCGAATAAGGCTTTTGTCAGTTACTTTTTGTCCCAATTGGTCGACAACGTGAAACACTGAAAGGGGGAAACTGAAAGGGTGTCAAAGCTCCTATATCGAAGAAACGACACGAATCCATGTGGATCTAAAGGTACGTACCATCCACAAACCAGCCGCCATCTGAAGAAATGTATGCTTTCGAGATCACGAGATCAAGGTCAGTTAGGAGCTGCACAACTTGAAGAAGGCAGCCTTGCTTATTTGCGCTATCCACTTTCACAAGAGTCGAGACTGGATCAGAATGGTTGTCGAAAACAACCCTGCAAGTGACAGTACAATCATCAGTCGACGCCCAAAGGGAAGAAACGTTCGAGTTTGTGTTACTATAAGCGCGTCAGCTTTACCTGGGTGGATTGACCCGTAATGCAGCCTCTTCGAAGCCTGCAAACAGAAACACCCTCACTAAGCCACAGATTGAAACGATACTCTTAACAACGGTAGCAAGACTAGTCACCTGAAGATCTTGCCATTGAGATCTTCGGCTCGAAGGAGATTGGCGAAGGAGACAATGCCATGTGGTAGCCTGTCTTTTCCGAAAGTATTTCTCAAGAGTGTTGAAGAAAAACACACAAGTTTAACCTTGTCTCACACGACCAACTTCGTCAAAACCACATCTGACGTCCGCAAGTGTGCCCAAGTCTTGAATGAGCACTTCGTGAGACATTAACTACAGGATAGTGGTGCCAAAAGAGCTGAGCTGTGTGTCGCGCGCCGGAACTGTATTCTAGGCTGGCAGTACTTGAAAATGATGGAACATGTAAGGTCGGCAAACTATGCAGCTAGCAGTGTACAGTCGCTGTTAGAGTTGACTATATCAGGCCTCCTAGGTTGTAAGACTAAACGGCCGTAGAGGATACTCCAAAGCTCACTTCCCGACCGTGTACGCGCTGGATCCAGAACAGCCATCCAACCAAAACCGACCAAGCAACAAGTTCGCGAAAGTGACCCCAAACCCTCGCATGCCTGCCTCCACCTTTTCCTTTTCCTTGGTGAAGGTTATGCATCGTAGGTGCTTTCGGTACATGAGTGCAGTGAGGTTGTGAAGGGTTTCAGTTGAAACATCGCATCTAAACTTACATGCACATTCCTAACACTACAACAGGTTCTGACGTGCTTCAGTTCAAAACACTCTTCTCTTGTATGCACATTCTCTACCATTTGTTGGGCCACGTCTAAACCCTCAACAGCTACGGTGGTAGGACGTAAAAAACCCGTTATATTCAAGAGTGCCTCCCCAATGAACAACTTTTGTACGTAGATACTGGTAACAGGAAACTAAGGTTCCACAATGTACACACTTGTGATACACGGAAATGTGTATCATCAAGCTTTCACTTGAAAGCAGTAGCATTGCCGAAACAAGGAAACCGATTCGTCTGAGCATTCAAAATTCAGAGGTTCGATGTTTACGTACATGACTGCCACTCTTATTACTCAGGGTTTGGCAAGCAAAATCAGTCGCTAGAGAAATGGGATGGGAGGAGTTGGGCTTCAATAACAATGCACGGGGGAGTTGGGCTGCGAGAAGCGCAAGGATCATGTGGATGGGGGGAGAGCGGAGGGTGGGGGAGGGAAGGGGGTGGGTGGGGGGAGGAATACGGTACCTGCGAGAGGTGATAAGAAGTGGGGAAGTCGGGCTCCACGAGTCGAGAGTGACTTGGCGAGTTGGGCTGTGAGAGGCGAGAGATGAAGGGGGGTTCAATTCGGGGACGTGAGAGGCCAGAGGACGGGTTTGGGGGTGGTTGGTTGGGCTGAAAGGAAGTGAGGGTGGGTGAGGGGCGAAAGGGACTGGGAGTGTTAGGCAGTGAGAGGTTGAAATAGAGGGGTGGGCTGTGAGAGGCGAGATGGAGGGTGGGGAGGGGAAGCTTTGTAGCTGGATACATTAGCCCTGATGCCAATAACTTATTAGATGATTATATACACCAAGCCCGATGAGGCCAACAACTGTTGGCCATTTCTACACAACCATATTTACACAGGCCCATTTAAGTGAGGCTGGTTGAAAGTGGAGCTCCTTTCATGGCGGTTTCCCTGGACAGACGGAAAGAAAGTGAGCGAAGCAATCCGGTGAAAGAAAAGGAAGGCACCTGAGGTGGAGGCGAGCAGCTAAGAATGGGAGGCGCCACATTACGAACGGTCAGCATTTCAGGGCCGATTTCCTGGCGAATAGCCTCAATGGTACTGAAATCCACAGGGCGATTGGACGAATCTGTGATGTAAAATTCGTTCACAGCTTGTCCCCAACGCGTGCATATATTTGCAGCAGTGATGGAGAGGTTGTGCGCCTGGAAAATCCGTGTGACATCGCACAACAAACCAACCCGATCCCCAGCGCGGAGATCCAGACACATCCCCTGCCACAACAGGAAGCAATGCGTCGTGACCAAACAGCCAATGAAATCGGTACACCTTGTTGCTAGTCTCAAATGCAGCAGCAAGATAAGTGAACAAAGTGACTTACCTTGGGGGTGCGACGCAAAATAGCTGCTTCAAGGCACTTAACCACCCGCTCCCTCTCAGCTTCGGTGTCCAGCATAGAGCCGTCCATGGTTCTGATGTAAAGTTCCTGCAGTGGAAGAATGCAACCAAATGAGAAGGCCATACAGACAATGACATGCTCCTGTGCTTGGAGCCAAAGCCACAATTTTGGAGATCAAACTGTTTACTCACCTGAAACGCGACATCGTCTTCTGACTCTATTGTAGCATGGTGAATGATGTACTGCATGTCCGTAAGTGTGCAGACCGTGTCAAACAAAAGTTTTGGCCGGTCCAGGCAGCTCAGCTTGATTATTGTATATTGCGACCCAGGAAGATTTCCCACAGAAACACTAGGACGAAGTTTCTCGTCAGCTGCACCAGCAGGGGAGACATGAATCCCAGCGGCTTCGTAATCCCTGTCTGCGAACATTAGCTGATGCAGCCTCCGGTCGGTCTGGGCCTCCCCAACAGAAAATCTGTGTCGAGCCTCGATTCTGATACTGTCTGATTCCATCACCGAACATAAGCTGTCATGCATTTCGGCCAGAGCAGCAGGGTGGGTGACAGGTCCGCCGTTGACTGCTCGGGTAATGTGAACAACGATAGCCACACGGTTATTGTGCGTCCAGACCTCTGCTCCCACCACGTTGCATCCCAGCTTCGTCAACACCTCCGACACCTCGTAGAGAAGCCCAGGGCGGTCATATCCTGTGAGTTCTATGACGGAGTGTTCAAAATCTATGGCGTCCGCGACAGGCTTTCCTAGGCAGGTTTTTGCATCAGGAGCAAAATGCTCTTTGGAAGCACCCAGCGCCTGCACAAGAAGAGTTCAACATTCAGCACATGCCCAAACGCTCATTACCGAATACTTGGTTGCCGTCCCACTCACCTTCTTGATAAAATGAATAAGGCTCTCGTCTGTCACCTTTTGCCCCAGTTGGTCCACCACATGAAAGACTGCGAAGGGACAACCGAAGGAAAATCAAACTAATGTAATGTGAAACCCAATAACACTACAACGACGTGGTCTGCAAGTTACTCACCATCAACGAACCATCCACCATCAGAAGAGATGTAAGCTTTAGAGATCACAAGATCAAGGTCAGTCAGAAGCCGTACGACCTGAAGAAGGCAGCCTTGCTTGTTTGCGCTGTCCACCTTAACAAGAGTCGAGACCGGGTCAGATTGATTGTCGAATACAACGCTGCAAACAAGCGGACGCTGTTAGCATTTTTCTCCATGAATGAGCTATGCCTCTAGCATTGAATGCAAACAGAGACGGCTGACCTGGGAGGGTTGACCCGCAACGTAGCTTCTTCGAAGCCTGCAAGCATGAAGCGGCTCGATTCAGCCCCAAACGAGGCAGGGGAAAGCCTCGGCTGAAACGAGAGGATTGGTCTTGATGACGACGCCATTGAAGGTATGCGACTATGACCCCGCTTGTATAAGCCTGTCCTTCACGGGAATACAACACTCCAATTATTATCGCTTTTCAAGGTGACAAAATGAGTCTTAGAAAAGCATCCTGCAAGGCGCAATGGCGCTGCGGTGTAAGCAAGCCTTCTGGGTTGCAGTTGCAGCATTGCTTCTGGCAATGCGAGCACCCCATGAATGGTGGAGCAGTGGCAGGAGCTAAACCTTTTCTTCGCTGGAGCGGAACAACAGAGGCAGCTGACAGCACAGCAACAGGTCACCAAGCGCAGCATTGCTTCGGCGACGCTTTGCCCAACCGCAGCCTCCACTCGCACGGCGACTTGGACTTGGATCAGGGGCGGACAACCCTCCATTGGCCAGTCACTCCTTGTGGTACCCATTTGCCAATCTCAGGGGCCAATTCCACGCCACGAAAAGGCGATCAGGCTTTATGATTGGAGGAAAGACGATCCCGTAAAGTCCAAAACGGCCCCGAAAGGCCAGGCGAGCCACAAACTTCGTTCGATCCGATCCGACTGTGTAGGGAGGAAGTGAGCGCGAGGTGCTAGCGCAGTACTCGACACTGCGTTACCTTGTAATAATATTTGCAGATTGAGTTATTTTCCAAAAGAAATGCACATATCACCTTGTAGAAGTGAATGCATTTGGAAAACAAAGATGTGGGACCCACCACCAGGCTAATTACATGCAGAAACGGAGGCTTGCATAATGCGTTTGGTACATGTTTTAGCTTGCGACTAACAAACACCCCATACTGACCACACTGCACGTCTGCTTACGCGGCTTCAACAGGAAAATACCTCACTTTCGTCTACTTTGCTGCTCCCTTCCTGTCGGTAGCAATCCATGTTGATCTTCAAAATCATCCATATCATCGTCCGTGTGCGCTGCAGCTCGCCGTGCATGCAAGCTCTCAAAAATACTGTCCAGATCCGGAGCAACCTCTTGTGTCAACCCACCTCCACTCCCTCCCGTTGTATCTGCACCCCCTTCATCTTTACTGTGTTGCCGTGGGCTCCCTAGAATGTCCCTCAACCTGCCCATTGTGCTGCTGGATGAGGCATCCTGCAGCCGGGATGTGACAGCCTGAGACCAGCGAGACTCCAGCAGCGTTTGAGACCAATGGCTGCTGCTGCTACTGCTGCCAGGGATGGTCCCACCTGAACCGGAACCTGCTGCGGCTCCTCTTTGGCCTGGCGAGATTAATGGGGACTCTGTAGGTGATACACCCACTGCATGGCCGCTCCTTTGCGGAGAACCCGATTCTTGCTGCACTCCTGCACCTGCTGCCATTGCTGCTGTGGCCTGCCCGACCCAGAAGTACCGCTGTGGGGTTGACACCATTGCTGCAGAGCTTAGGCCCAGAGCAGAAGAGAGGAGAGAGGGAGGCGAGAGAGGGCGGGTGGGTGTCGCACTGCCAGCAGGAGCAGCAGCTACAGCAGCGGAAAGATGGTGTGGAGTGGAGTGAGCAGAGGTGCTGATGGGTGGAAGCCTAGCAGTAACAAGGGGAGAGGCGGCTCGAGAGAGCAAGAGGGGACTGCCAGGGACAGAGGCCTGCCTTGACTTCTCTCGACCCAGGGGAAGCAGATCGCCCACTGAGCTTGACTTGATGCTCGCTTCCAGCCCCACCCTGCCTGCCACACCTGCTGCTGGAGAGGCAGCACCTGATGAAGCACCTGAAGCACCCCCTACAGGAGGCCGCTGGGGCTTCCTGGCACTGCCGCCAGCAGATGACCCACCAGCAGCGATGATGCCAGAGAATTTGAGTGAAGCGGAACTGGTGTCTGCTGCTCTGAGCAAGGACGCCGACTCAGGGTCCTTGTTGCTGGCACTGTCAGCGGCAGGCTTGCCCCCTGCAGGCCTCACTGCAGCCAGGCGTGATTCAAGCAGCGGGTCGGCGGAGGAGGAGCTGGGGTCCGTGTGAGGCACCTTCTGATGGCCATGGGCGTGCAGATGCCAGGGGGGGATATACAGGGGCAGGGGAGAAGAGCGATAGTGAAAAGTGTGTGAGAAGGAAATCGCAGTGAAAAGTGTGTGAGAAGGAAATCGCAGTGAAAAGTGTGTGAGAAGGAAATTGCAGTGAAAAGTGTGTGAGAAGGAAATCGCAGTGAAAAGGGAGAGGTCAAGTGACAGGGAAAAGGAGAAAGTGGGAACGAGAGAAAGAGAGAGAAGTGGGGCGGTGGGAGTGAGGGGAATTGAAAAAATATGGAGGGTCGGGGAGCAGGTACGTACAGTGGGTGTGGAGTAGTGGCCTGAGAGCAGGGAGGAGGCGGAGGAGGAGGCATGGAGGTCCTTGGAGGAGAAGTGGCGCGCCAGGGGCACCACGCTCTCACCCACTGGCAGCCCACGCTCTATGGTCGCCCGCTCTGGTGGGATAGGGGGTTTAGACAGGCACACGGGTAGCGATCCAATGAGGGACGATGCCAGCATGGGATGGGTTGATCCCACAGCTAACCCTACAGCCCATCCTTTGCCCCCCTCCCTCTCGCACGCACCTCGTTGCAGTATCATGTGGCCCTTGACAACCACCCTGCGCCCATCCACGCCCACGTCCTCCCCTTCGCCATCGTCGTCAAAGCGCAGGCGGCGCCAGGTGCGGCTGTAGAGGCCGCGGAAGTGCGAGAGGAGGTGCGTGACGGAGTCAAAGAGGCGGTGGTGCACGTTGAGCGCGATCAGCAGCGACCACGCCACCATGCACAGCGGGTACACACGGTCAAACGACTTGGGCAGCACCCCCATGCGCTGAAGCGTGGATGTCCGGGAGAGAAGGGTTGTGAGGGGAATGATTAGAACGAATCACCAGTAGCAAACATGTGTGAAGCCGAGGCATGGAGATGAATGAAGCGGATCAGATCAGAGCAGCATGCAGGGCATGAGGGGCGCACCTTTTCAAAGACGGTGACGAGGGGCTCAACGGAGCCGGTGCCGTAGTTGTAGTGGCGCAGGTGGATGAGGCTGAGGAAGTTGTAGCACATGGGGGCCGCATACCGCGACACCATGCTGCGACCACACAAAAGCATGAGGGAGGTGCGAGACATCGGGATAGACTTGTATCATTGAAAAGAAGGCTGAGCCAGGATGGATAGACAGACGAACGCATAGGATGGTAGGGATGACTTGACAGGTTCTGACTTGAATCCTTCACACACGAGCAAGCAAGGAGTTGCAGATTCAAATTGCAACGAGCTACATCGGCAGGAAAACATGAGGTTGAATGTGGTGCAGTGGGGCTCACGAGCAGTTGATGAGGAGTGAGACAGAGTCGGTGTGAGCGGGCACGAGGTAGTAGAAGGAGAACATGCCGAGCTTGAAGAGTGAGAAGTAGGTGCACACACACAGGTACACCAGCGGCACAAACACTATCAGCTGCACCGCCTCCCCGTGCAGCGCGGCGGCGCGCACGAGCACGGAGAAGAGCGAGAGGTCGACCCATTTTTGGGAGAGCAAGGTGGCTTCAGCAAAGAGGATGGCGAGGGAGATGAGGCCGAGGAGCAGGGCGAAGGCCCGCACCACGTGGCTGCGGATGGCACAGCGCCACCACCACTCTGCATGGTGGGGCGGGGCGAAAAGGGGGAGAGGAGGGAGAACGGATGATGAGGTGCTTCCAGATATCGGGCGGCAGTGCTGCAGCAGATGATGCAGCACTGCCACCCCTCTGCATAACCACTTACATCGCAAGGAAGGTAGTCGGAAGGAGTGTGGGGATGGAGAGGAAGGAGACATGTGTGTGGGATGCAGCACTCTATTGGATAGTAGGAAAGGAGAAGACAACTGTGGAGGGATTTGTGCAGCAAGGAATGAACAAAATAGCGAGGTGCAATGCATTCAAGCCTGCTCGTGGCAATGCAACGCACCCACGACATCGAGGAGCGGAGCAAAGAAGCCCTTCCTGGGCGCGCGCAGGTAGGAGGTGTAGCGGCCGGTGCCCTGGTAGCAGTTGTGCAGCGTCTCCTCCAGCTGCAGCGCCTCCCACACCACCGTGCAGTACTCTCTGCCAGGGGCCACGGCGCATAAGGCAAACGGGACACAAGGAATTGCGAGAAACGAGTCAGGCACAGAAACGTGCAGAGCGCACAGGGGGATACGTTTGGTTGCAACCCCAGTAGAGGAGTCGCTTCATTCGTGACAACGTGTGGCCATCAGTGTGAGGAGCGAAACCAATCGGGTGTGTGAGAGGTTTATGGGGGCAATGAGGGCCCAGGTCATGGGGGCGTGTGATTAGTCTTCCCGCACTACCTCTCCCATCACCCCCAGCCCCACCGCCTCCCATCTTCCACTCCAACCCCCCTTTGAATCCTCACCACCACCATGCTCAATCCCCCCTCCCCTCCCCGCGCCCCCCTCACGTCTTGCAGCGCGAGTAGTTGTCCTGGGCGTTGCGCAGGCGGCGGCGGAGAGCGGCCATGCTCTTGGCGTCGGCGTCGTAGTCCATGTCGTTCTCGCCTATCTGCCCGCCCGATGGCTTGAACCCCGCGTCCTCACTCGCCTGCACGCCGTGCCACACCAGAGCACAGGGGGAGTCACGCGTGTGGGGAGTGGATGGCTGGACCAAGGTAGAGACAGACTGGGGCAGGGCGCTTTTAGGCCCACAATGGCGGACGAAAGCAAGCAAAGACAGTTCTTAGAGGATGCTCTTAGAGGGAGGCAGACTCCGAGAGCCTCCTCGTTGCATGCCACTGCCAGCCGTTCTTGATAAGGTGTTATGCCATCTCAATGAAACATCCCCCATTGAGATATCATGTGACGTGACCTCACCATGGCGTCGATGATCTCCATCATGGGTCGCAGCGGATCATGGCGGGGCATCTGCAGCGAGGTCGCCTGAGCAATCTGACGGGCACGCAGAGGGGGGAGGGGCACATGAGGAAGGGACAACGAGGAAGCACAGTTAGAGAGGGCAGGGGGGGATGATTCGCAGAGGGTGCGATGCACAGTAAGATAGAGCAGAGGAGATGAGCTACAGTGGCTGCGATGCAAACAGAGCGAGGACGTATGACAACGACACTGACCACGATGGCGGTGCTGAGCTCCTGGTGCGCCTGGTCCAGCTTCTGTGCCGCCCGGGCCACGCGCACGGACAGCCACTTGTGGCGCTCTGCCAGGTCCGCGTGGCTCCAGAGGCCCCTTGGGATCTCCACCAGCCCGTACCCCAGCAGCAGCGCGCCCGTTATCAGCGCAAACGCGTTCGACGCCCCTATGGCCAGCGACACTATGTTGTCCCTGATGGAGGGGGGAGGTGTGGGGACGGGGAAAGAGGAGTAAGGGAAGGGATGCATGGACAGGAATCAAGAGGAGCAAGATACGGGAGGGAGGGGAGGGGGTTGGACAATATGTGAGACGAAGAGCTGAACCCAATCGGCATGACAGGTCTCCAACCCCTGGCTCTAGGTGAACCCACCTCCACCCACATAAGAATAATAAACAAGAGAATGGGCATGGCTTGCACTGACCAGGCCATTTCCTTGGTGGCGAGCAGGATGATGATGCCCACCACGGCCACGGCGCCCACAATGCCGATGAGCATCAGGTTCGTCCTCACACTCGTGCGCAGCCGCTCCTTTGCTGTGAAGTCCCCCGCGTCCTCATACCCCTGCATGATGGGGATGATTACCCTGGGGTAATACACGGAAGGCAAGGCAACGTTAACATCAGGTCGTTAGGCATCTCATCACTCTGATACCAGGCACGATGGGGAGATGACCCGGCAGGTGCGTAGGGGATGGGTGTTGAAGAGCAGAGGAGAATGGGAGGACTGGAGGGTAGGAGTGGAACAGGTGAGGAACGGCAACGATTTCAGGTAGCACCAGCACCCGGCAACCACAATTAGGAAACGGGGAACGTGAGACCATCATCGTGGGCGGAGGGAGGCAGTTTGATTATGTGGGAAGGCATGCAGGCTGACCAGGTGAGGAAGTAGGCGCTCCAGTAGGAGAAGCTCCACAGGAACTGCACGGAGAGCTTGGAGCCGCACACCGCTGCTGACAGCCCCGCCGTCATCCCCGTGGGACCCGCCTCGCCCTCCAGACATATCGCCTGCACGCACCGACCATAGCAGCATCGCACCACACGTCCGTGACGCACATCCGTGAAGCACATCATGCATGCAAGGCATGCATTCAAGAGACTCATGCATTCGTGTAACACATTCATCAAAAGGCATGCAACCATACACCCATGCAACCATGATTCCCACGCAGCCCTGACACGCATCCATGACACCCAACCATGACACCCATACAGCCATGACACACATGACCATAGTGCACATCAGTCCGTGAATTCCGCATGCAATCCACGCAGCGTATCATTTGACGCTTCTGCGGCGCATGATGCGCATCGAAAGATGCAGGGGACTGCAAGAACGAGTCGAGCTATGTAGCTCAAGTCGGATGCTGCTCAGTGATGCGTGCTTAAGGAATGGGATCGATGATACTTGAGTGGGGAAATTGCGGAATTCACCTTGTTTGGAATATCCACAGAATGACTATCAGGGACGAGCCTGCAACACTGCTGCTTAATTACCAGTAAGAATCGGCTGTCCCTACAAGCTCTCAGCTACTAAAGACTATCGCCAAAGCAACCACCCACTACCTAACTTCAAGGGACGAACACGACGTCGATAGTCTTAAGAAGCCGTGACACGCACCGTCCAGACGTCGACAGGGACGAGGATGACGATGGAGACGTTGACGAACCACGTGTACGCGACGATGATCCGCACGTGCTGTAGCACGCGCGGCGACGCGTAGTATATGAGCGTCCATATCACCATGCCTAGTGTAACCGGCAGCGCGATGGCGTAGAACATCCACATGGCCACTGCCTTTTCGGGATCACGACGCGCAGCTCTGGATGCCTGTGAATGCCCTAATTCGTCTGCTACTTCTTATGCTACTCGCTACAGCCGCTACTAGGTGGAGCCTTCATCACTCGACGTACACCGTAGTGTACTCGTGCCGCTAGGTAGAAGTGGATGGCTTGTCCTCCAAACAGAAAAATCGGTGTTGTGAATCCTTAGTCTAAAAGCTGCTACCACGCTACCACACCGGACCTAAGCTATTCGGACCTAAAGTACGAACGGAAACCGAAAAGAATAAAGCATACCCACTAACAGCATGTGTCTTCGTGCTTCCATTACCACTAGAGTTGCCGTGCGTGACAGGAGCACTCTGGCACTCTACCAATGTACACCTCTTTCGCCAATGGCAACGTCGCAGAACAACTAGGTTACCATTTTTGCTTCATCTCTGAAATTCAGCGTCAGGTTGTTGGTGCGTTTCGGGAATTCAAGTCGTACGGGGCATGTAGGACAGTTGGGCGACAGGCGCGGCGTTGTCCAGGCGACAGCAGTGCAGCCTCGAGGTCCAGCGTCATTGGTGGGGATTTGGAGTTGGGTTCTAGGAGCAGTTGCGCCGCGTCAGGTCAAATGCTATTGAGCACCTTCATACTGTCACACCCCTAACAAGCAAACGAGGATGTTGATAGCTTGGGAAAATATGCCATTCGTAACCAGCATGGGACTCCATAACATATTTGGTAAGAAAAAAGAGGGTACGGTCACTGCAAAGGGTGTTTTCACGCGACTGATAAAACGTTTCACGTAATCAGTCACTATCAAATGGTAAAAAAAAAAACGCGAATGGTCATAGATGAAACTCCCGCCAAAACGAAATGAAACCCAAAAGGAACCTGGATGCATTTTAGGATGAATCAACCCTAAACACGTAACTCGCCAGGTGTTTAGGGTTGATCCGTTCCCAAGTTGCATCCGATTCCGATTGGGTTTTAGTTTTGTTAGAAGTTAGCAGATTGGTTGGGCGCGAGCGGGAATTCTGTTGAGTTTCAAGTTTTTTTGGCGGGAGTTACATGTGTGACCATTCGCGTGATTTTTTACCTGTTGTTAGTGACTGAATCCGTGACCCCACTTACCAACCCGTCAGAAAACCCAATACAGTGACCGTACGCGTTTTTTTTTTACCATTCACGTTATCGAGTCCCAAGTTGGTTACTTGTGGCATATTTTCCCTTGATAGCTTAGGTGAATTGTACATGCAATCACTTATCCAACTGCCTAAACTATATCCTATTTGTCTCATTGCATCAAGCTTGGAGTGCCACTTTGTAGAAGCCGTTCCTCCAGATTAGCCTTGTAGCCCTGTAAAATACAATTTACACATGAGTGATGTTAAAATGCCACTCAAGATGCATCTGGATGAACATTGGCCGAAATCAAATCAATTTACCTTCATGTGGTCGATGTACTCTGATGCTGCATTGAGCAGTGTACACAAGTCAGCTTTATGAGTAAATCCCCTTGTCTTCTGAATGTGGCTGCTAAGGAATTCCCTCGGTATGACTTCACGCAGACTTGCAAATCCCTGACTGCAATAAGCAACAAACAGTTAACTCAGACGTCAGATTTTGTGCATGGCATGTATGGAGGAATACCTGCCAATACAGGACAACCGTACCTGACACGAGCTCTCCTGTTTTTTTCAGTCGAACTCTTCTTTGTAATGCCAGAGCCGCCTCCAGCTCTTGAGTGAATGAAATGGCTCTGCTTTTGAGACTTCACCGGGCTCAACGTGCTGCGGCCAGGGGCGTCTGACAGAGCATGATGGAACAATGCTTTGTCCCTCCTCATTTCAGGAGCTTCAGGTGGATTAAGTCGCATCTGGCTCAACATTCCACCCTGCTGGTTAGGGCCCAAGTCACAGGCGGCCAATGGAGCTGCTGTGGCAGTTGTTGTGAGGTGGCATGCAGCAGAGTCAGGCGTGGGGGCTGCTACACCACGAGCCAGGGACCAAGCCTCCAAAGAGGCCCGCCCAGACAACAAAGTGGCTGGCTCAACCATGGAACCAAAAACCATACGTGATGCTGATGGGGGGGTGGCCACTTCGTTGGTTGGCGCAGACAAGCTTCTCCCGTGAAACGACCCAGCTCCCCGCAGCGTGCTCCTGGCCTGACAGTTTCGCAGTCGCGCCTCGCCAACTTGCGTGACGATGGTGCTTTCACTCAGTCTGCCATTGCTGGGAGCAACTGGCACCAGCACCGGCTCTGCCGAGAAATGTTTGTTCTTAACCTCTGCAGCTAGTATTGACCTCTGATGCCCAGGCTGAGCGGTGGCTGCGGCAGGGAGGTCCAGATCAAGCAGCTCGTTCCCCAATAGGTAGGTCAGGTAGGCGAGTTCCTGATCGTTGCACTCCAAACGCGCCATGCGCGTTGCAGCAGTGGAGGAAGCCGTGGATTACTTGGAACGAGATCTCATATGAGTGTTTTGCAGCAAGGACGACGTCACAGGCCAATCTGAAAGAAGTGCTTCTTCGTGTAAGACACGAGTGATGGGAAATAACTGTGCTGAGAGCACGCGAACGAAAAGCAGGTGAAGCTTCGTCTGTGTGGGAGTAGTGGAACTGAGGCCGACAAGCGAACTCGTCCACGCACATTGGCTCGTCGACCTTCCCAAGGGCTACAGCTCTTTGCATGCTTGAACGGCTAGTCGGCCATGATAACGCAGATTGCCACGCAGCGATGACAAATGCGGCGAAACGATTGTAACTGACAAATATCATCCGTACGGGAATTGGAAAATATTGGAATGCCCAACGGCCACACCAACTTGGCAGGTTTCGAGAGGTTGGGTGGGGGTCTCAGCTCAGGCCACCCAAGGCCCTAGATCGGACCAAGCCTTCTCTGCTGGCCCTCTCTCCTGCTAGCTATTCAGGTTGTGAGCCACTCCATGTTCAGCCCGAATGAAATCCTATTGCTAAATCGTTTGCGACAGTCGGCCAGGTCTATAAACTTCAACGACTCGCTGACCTTGGAGCGCTCGCCAAGAGCAACAGGCACGTCACATTTGCCCAGCTCAGCAACAGCAAGGTTGAATACGCGGCAAAGGCGGTGGTATCTGGAGGGGAGTTATGACTGATGCTCAACCAAGGAAATGGCGATCCTCCTTGTGGTCGCGTTGGATGTATAGCTAGTAGCTAGTCTTCAAGGTGCCCCTTCTTATGACTGGATACGGTGTGGTGCGAATGACCATTTTAGCGTTTTTGTGCGGTTCGAAGAGTTTTTGTGATGACGTCAAGTCCGCATCATCAGTCATTCCCCTCATGCTAGAAAGATACAGCAGAAGGACGAGGATGTTCGATCTGCCACACCACCAGATTGTAACACCTAGACGCCTCATTTAGTCCGTTGGATTCTACCAACTAACCAACCGAATCGCCGCATTCGCCACTTCTCGATACAGTCGATGCTCAGCCTATCACAAACAAATTGCCCCTCACAATTAGAAATTTAGTCACTCAACATTGTGCTGATTTCGGGGTACAGTCACCAAGTTGCGGAAGAAACACATCTACAGTTCATAAACAACAACGGGTTGCCGGTCATCAGAAATGTTTACCTGGTTACGAAATTAAAGCCCTACAGTCGATTCACATTGCAATTTCATATTACAGTCACATTTTTGCCCGTGGCGACAAGGGCGAATGTGGCGAAATTCCCAAAACCGTTTCACGCACATGCCGCCCGCCTACCTGGTGTTCTCGTAATGAGCACCGACTGTATTGGGAAGAGAATTCTGACATGGACACGAACATGAACATGGAGCGGTAACACCTGTAGGACTTCGAAAAAACAATATGCTCCAAAAAAACATTGATACATTATTAAAATTGCACCATCGACAGAAATTGGCAGGCGAGTCAACCCTAACCAAAACCTCTTGGGACCATCGCTACATTGCCCTGCGTGGGTGCATGTTGTGATCGCAGCTGAACCAATAACTCTCTAAACACATCACGTGCAATCTTTGCATCTCCTCTCTGCGAGCACGAATACAACATAACACAACATTAGAAAAGACCGACTTGAACCCAGAAAGAGCTTCCGGACTAAGACCCCGGATGATGCGCAGTGAGGAAGCCAGAATAATTGTCTGCATCTAAAGAGAAAGTGACGAAGTATATACGCAACATATATGCTCATACCTACAGGTAAGCTGACAGTATCAGGGGCTGCACACACCTGGAGCTGGGTACAGAAGTTGGCGGCTAATGCGGGCGGGCAGTTGAGGGAGGGCAGCAGGGAGGAGAGGAGGCGGTCTGAGAGCAGCTGGCCGCACGTGTGGTGTAGTGCCAGCAGGGCGAGCGAGATGTCGTTCACCAGCAGCGCCTGACATGCAGGAAGGGGTTAAGGGGCCGGGGGGAGGGAAGAGGGTGGGGGGGAACAGAGAGTTGAAACAGTCGTGCTTGCATTCTACCGTGCCCAGAAGGGAGGTAGCAGGAAGCAACGAGGGGAACAAGGGCAGCACAAGAATGGGGAGTGGAGAGAGCGGATGTGGCTCACCGAGTTGGCGTCTTGCAGGGAGAAGGAGGGCTGCAGGCACGGCAACAGGCACGCCGTGGGCAGAAACTGCTCCAGCAGAAAGGCTCTGAAGCCCGGCGCCTGGGGAACACACGCATGGGGGGCGGGCGGGGGGGGGGGGGAGGAAACTGAAGGAAGCGCGTGGAGAGAAGGAAAGGAAGGGGAAGCAAGCAACTGCCACAGTAACAGTGTGAACTGTGCAACATTTGGCCAGGACAGCCCACACGAAAAAATAAATACAGATGGAAAATCACATTGTATTGTGGCGAAACACTTCTATTGGTTGACTGGCATCCGCTCTCAATCTGCTCAAACAGGATGCACTACCTTCGTGGAGTTGACGGAGCATACCTTTTCGGGGTCGCAGGAGCACCAGTCGGAGGCGAAGCGGATGAAGCAGGCAATGGCCACCTTGCGCAGCGAGATGTCCACATGCAGGGCGGCGGTGTCGAGCAGGAGCGTGATGATGCGCGGGAGGAGTTGAGCGGCGTTGGTGGGGGAGAGGAAGGTGGCGTGCAGGTCCGCCATGGTGATGCCGTGCAGCAGCATCACCACCGCTCTCAACACCTCCCTCTGCTCCCTCACCTCCTGTTATGGCCGGGTGATGTGGAAGGGGACACGAGGGGGAGTGGATGGATTAGTGCACTGGGGAGATGGGCGTCAGAGAGGAAATGTGCTAATGGAGAATGATTCATGCCAGGGAAAGGGACTCCTTGTTCCTTCGAACAGTGCCTTCTCTTGGGAGCGAAGTGACACTCTGCCCATGTTGCTTGCCTGCTTCGACAGCATAGAACCATACTCTCATGCAAAAGAATACACACATGCAACCTCCCTCCCCTTTCCCAGCATCCCGCCATCCCACTCTCACACACCGCACGCACCTCGGGGGTGCCAGAGGCATCAGAGGTGGTGTTAGGTGGCCCCATGAGCGAGGGGAGGGAGGAGGGGAGCAGGATGGAGAGGCGGGCGAAGAGGGGCGCGAGCAGGGCGTCGATGATGGGCGCCATGTGGGCGCGGTGCTTGGCCGTGAGCAGTGACAGCAGCTGCAAACACTCCACCATGTCCCTCGCCTGCAGGGAGGGGGAAGGGAGGGGAGGAGGAACGGAGGGAGCGAGCAGTGAGTGTGAGGGGGTAAGGGTTTGACATGGGAAGACTTTGAAACGACAGAGCGGTCGCATGTAGAGACGATGAGATAGGCATGGAGACACAGCGAACACGCACTTGCAGCAGAGGTGTACCTCACAGTGGGCGAGGAGGAGTGGCAGTGCTTGTGGCAGGAAGGGGATGATGTGCGCCCCCAGGCAGTCCGCCATGCGGTGCAGAAATGATGTCACCTGGTGGTGGGGGGGCGGTGGGGAGGGCCGGAGGAGGGGCACGGGAGAGAGGTGAGAGAGGGTAGAGGCGAGGCAAGTGAAAATAACCTCGGTGAAAGAAAAAAAGAGAGTGGAAGGCGTGTGATAAATCAAAGTTCTGCTATGATCTCCATTAGAAAGCACACGTGACTGCTTGAACTCCTGGGAGCAAGAAGGAGGCATCCACAGTGGCTGATCCACACACCCCCTCTCCTGCTCCGCTCACATTCACGGCTCAGTCTTCCCTGGCTCTGCTCGTACACTCAGATGACGATGGGAGTACCTTGGAGCGAGTGGGGCGGCTGCGGGGCAGGGCATGCAGCACGCGCAGCACACACTCCACGGCGCCCTTGAACAGCTGCGCCAGCTCTGGGCGCGCTGTGGTGACCATGTGCGCGGCAAAGCCCTTGGACAGGTAGCTCATGGCCATGATCACCTGCTGCAGCGCCGCTACCATGCCCGCTGCCGCCTCCGCTCCCAACCCTCCTGCTTCGGCCGCCTGTGCTTCTTGTGCCAACGCATCTGCCTGGAAGGCACGGGCAGCAGGTGAAGGCAGAGCAGGTGGAGGCAGGTATCAGTGGGTGAAGGCAGGTATGGGCAGGTGAAGGCAGGTATGGGCAGGTGAAGGCAGGTATGGGCAGGTGAAGGCAGGTATGGGCAGGTGAAGGCAGGTATGGGCAGGTGAAGGCAGGTATGAGCAGGTGAAGGCAGGTATGAGCAGGTGAGCGATGGAGATAGGCAAAGGAATAGAGTAGATCCCTTATGAATGCATATCGTGCTGCCAGTCCGGCCATTGAGGGAGCCACGGCTCCCTGGTTTGACAGCAGTGCCCCAAAGTCGAAGCCCTCGCATGTTTCTTGCCCACTCACCCGTGCGATAAGCGGTGTGAGCAGCGCTGATAAGCACGCTGCCTGCTGCTGAGCTGGCACCTCCTCCTGCGCCAGCAGTAGCCCCACTGCCTGTGAGAGCGTGAGGGGGGAGGAGGGAGAGGGGCGACAGAGCTTGCAGATTCAATGGCTGGGTATGATGTTGCTGAAAGGGCTACAGGTTGAGCTGTTGATGGGCAGTTGGCATGAGAGCGATAGCACGCGCACCAGCACAGCACACACCCGTCAGCACGCCTTGCTCACCTCGTACGCATATATGCGGTCGTCAAAGGCACCTTCTCCTCGCCCAAACGGCCCTGCTGCTCTGCCCTGCCCGCCCGCCCCCTTGCCTGCTGCTGCTGGTGGCGTGGAGGTGATGGCCTCTAACATGCGCTGCAGACCCTGGGATGGGAGCACGCGAAGGGTGGATGGGAGCACGCGAAGGGTGGGGAGAGGGGCGGGTTGTGGTGGGAGGGAGGCGTGAAATGAGGTCAGATCAGACGCGCATAGGAAGGGAGCAACGAAGACATGCCGAGATGCAGGCAGGGCAAGGGCGACATGCACCACAGTTCCCAGCAGAAATCATTGAGTGTCCTGTGGCACGGCCTGCTGGAGCATCCTCTTCTCCACCCCTCCCCTCTCCATGCCACACCATCAGCTCCCCACCCATGAGTGCATACCCACCATACCGTACCATACCATACCACACTGTGCCATACCATGAGAATGGAGTCCAGCAGCGGCAGCAGCTGCTGTCTCAGCACCTTCACCACACGCATCAGCAGGTACGCCGCCCGCCCTGCCACCGCACTGTTACCGTGCCCCACGCCCCACGGGCCCAGGAACGCGTCGAGTGCAGCAGGGATGTATTGAGGGTGCTGCTGCACGAACCGCACGTACCGCACTATCACCTCCAACCACGCCACCGCCACCAGCCGGTGCCCTCTGTACCTCAACCCCCCACCCGCTGCCCCTGCTGCCGCCCCGCCCGCTCCCTGCTGCTGGGAGGCCGCGGAGGCAGAGGAAGAGGAGGAGGAGAGGAGCAGCGCAGTCATCTCCCCCAGCGCACCGCTGCCGGGCTTCAGCGCCTCTTCTGTCACGCCCTCGCCCAGCTGATAGAACAGCTGCACTGCTGCCTCTGTCTCCGCAAACGTCGCGTGCGGCCCGTGGGCAAGCGCTGCAGCTAGGGTTTCGTGGACGAACGCGCGGACGACGGCGGGGTTGACCTTGGCGGCGGAGCGCAGCAGCACGAAGAGGTCCTTGCGCTGCTCGCCCACGCGCTCCTCCTCCTCCTCGCCCTCCTTCGTCGGTAGATCTAACGCCTCACAGCTGCTCTCAGGGTACCGCATCCGCTCCCCTACCACCAGCAGCACCTGCCGCAGCTGCTGCTCCTGCCTCTCTCTCACCGCTGCCGCCGCCGCGTCTGCTGCTCCGGCGGCTGCTGCGGAGGCGGCGAGCGCGGCGGCGCCTCTGCTGCTGGCGCCACCGACGCGGCGCAAGTCAGCGACGAAGAAGAGGAGGAAGTGGAAGCAGTTGGCGGACACGTCCTCGTCGGGGTGCCTCTGTGCCAGGAAGAACACAGCGGGCAGAATGGCATCCAGCATGCCCTGCGCCGCTGCCGTCGCCGCCACTGCTACTGATTCCGACGCCTCCCCGCCTCCGCCTTCCCCCGCGCCCGCGCCCTTCCCGTCCTCCATCCCAAACCCCTGCGGAACCGCCTCCGCCCGCCCGCCTGCGCCGCCCCCGTTCCCCCCCGCCTCGAGTTTCTTGATGCACTCCATGATCTCTGTCGCGGCGCCCGTGAGCAGCTCCGCCAGGCGCAGCGTGAGCCCCTCGTCCGCGCGCGCGATCTCCTCCACCACGCGCACGCCCGCCACCTGCGCGATCTGCACTCGCTGCAGCAGCGCCACCTTGCTCACGGCGTCCATGCGCTTGTTCACTATAGCGAGGATGCACCCGCACGCCGCGGATCGCAGGCGCACGTCGCTGGTGTGCGCGGCTAGGAGGCCGAAGAGGAGGGGCAGCCAGCGCGAGTCCGCCACGAGCCCGATGTCTATCCACGCCACGTACGGCTGTAGAGTTTCCAGCAGCGCCGCTACAGATGCCGCCGCGTCGTCCCTGCTCACGGGGCTCCCTCTCCCGTCCCGCAACACCACCTCCCCCCCTCCCCCACCCACCCCGTTACTGCCCGGCATCCCATCCTGCTCTGCCCCCGCTCCTCCTCCTGCTCCCCCCGCCCCCAGCGCCGTCAGCAGCGCGACGGCGGCGCAGTACCAGGCGTGCACGAGCGGCGCAATGCAGCCCTCGCGCATGCCGTCCTTGACCCGCATGGCGGCGGCCGACTCCTCCGCCGTGCGCGCGTACTCGATGCTCAGCACCTCCTGGTCCAGCGCCGCCAGCACGCGGCACGCCATGTCCAGACTCACCAGGCTCCACGCGCCCGCGCCCTCCGCGCTCCCCGCTTGCGCCATGGCGCCGGTACCGCCGGCGGCGGAGGCTTGGGGGTTGGCCGCTGCGCCGACCGCCATGAGGGCGGAGACGATGGGGTCGAATGCGGTGTGCCACGGTGTGGGGTAGTGCAGGCGGATGAGCAGCACGATCACCTGCGCCACCTTGTTGCGGATGAACGCCGGCCACGACGCGCACAGTGGCACCCCCCCGCCCGCTGCTCCCCCTGCCTGCGCATCTGCCATGCCTTGCGGCCCCCCCGCCCCTGGCATCAGCCCTGATCCCACGGGACACCTGAAGGCTACCGCCATTAGGGTTTCGCGGAGCTCCGCCAGCGCCTCGGGCGGAAGAAACTCACCCTCCGCCCCTGCGCCAGCGCCGCCGTCGCCTGGCGCGGACTGCGACTGGCCGTCCGCGCGCAGTCGCTGGCGCAACAGGAGCTCTTCGAGCGCCTGCAGGCACCAGAACTGCACCTCGGGGTAGCGCGACGAGATGAGCCGCTCCACGCACACGCGCCATAGCTGCGGGGAGCGCCGGGCCTCCGCGCAGAACGCGTGCGCGCGTGCGCGGAGCGAGACGTCGACGGCTCCTGATTGGTCGAAGCTGAAGAGAATGGCCCGCTCGAGATCATCCATGCCCCCCTGGTGGTAACCCGATCGTGTCTACGTGGTATGGTGCTCCCTGTGTCTCTGCTGCCGTTGACCGTTTGTTGCTATTTTCCCACGTCTGCACTCCCCCTCCCACCCTCCCCCACTGTTGATGCTGCACCCCTCTGGCCCCGGTTCCAGCCAAGGGACGACACAATGAGCTACCCCATACGAGGCACTGTGGAAAAACCCCAGGGGAAAAATGGAAAGCGAATGTCACAAACGACCTATCGGCGACATCTGCGAAGTCGGGAAGGAAAACCTCGGCAGAAGTACGGGACGTGTAACAAGGTTTTGCGGCCTGATGAAGGGTGGTCAAGGGGAATGGGGAAGAGAATGGCAGAGCCTTGAACGGAAACTGCTGGCAGATCTGCAGTCACGGGGTAAACGCGAAACGATCTGCTCCCCTGGTGGTCACAGCTCGTCCGCTTCCGCGTGCGCGAGGACCGGGTGTGGTCGGACTTGGGTCGCGATCCAGTTTCAGCCGCGACTCTTAAACCTCCCTGATGCTGATCGGATGCCGCTCCCTCCGCCGAATCTACCCTGTGTGTCGACTAAACACGATTCTCGAACACAAGCAGCAACCTCCCTGACCGTATATGGTCCAATTCTGCGCTTCCTTGAGAAGCCGCTCTGACCACGTCACGGGCGAACCATGCGGAGATGCTTCAGAGAGTGGAGGATAGAAGCAGATTAATCTTCAGAAAGACTTTCGCACCTAAATATGGTGAGACGCTGTCGGATTACAGGGACTAGCGTCAGGTGTTGGCTAAGTTGAGAATGATCAGGCAGAATCCGAGAACCCTGGGATTACATGGTCAGCAGGAACGAGGGACGGGTCCAAGAATGTGATTTGAACCTACTGCCACCATACCTGACAAGGTTGCGGCACAGAAAAGAGTGGCGGGAACTTGCGAACTCGCGTTTTGTCGACAACGCATACGGCAGCCGAAATAATTTGCGAATCGTTCGTGAACGGCGACAGTGTGCTCCAGCACGGAAATATGCGATTGGCGAGCCTCGCAAATGTGGAAACTGTCGCACGTGTGTGTCCCGAAACATTGTAAGCAGATTCGGGACCCGGTTTTACGTAAAACAGCACGTACAGCTGCGCGGTACACACACGTTCCAGGTACGTACAGATGGCTCCGAAATAGTCAGATTCGAAAAAGCTGACAGAGACTCGCGGCTGTACAGTGCCGCGACCTGTAGTCCATCTTGTTACCAGGCCCACATTGCCGCGAAACCCATTTCCCTCGCGAAATGGGTGTAACTCGTGGGGAAAACCCCCCAAATTGACTGTCGCAGAGAAATTTGCGACAGCATGGAGTTCGCCCAAAGGAGATGCAGCGAATCTGGAGCTCTCGCTTCTTGTTCTTTCTGTTTCAGGTACGCTTTCCCTGATGTCTGTACAGTACGCAGTCCAAGTTGAGCTTTGAGTCAGTATTTTTTGTACAGAGCTGCGCCGTGTCCAGACGAAAGAATTGGCGAGTGGCGAAATTTTAGTTTGTGGTTACTTTTCACCTAATGAAATGTAAGTGTACTTTCGGGACACGCCCTTAGTTCGACCACTGAACTTTGTTTGACAGGGAGGGGCCGACGTTCAGGATGCTCTCCCTTGTTTCGATTAAAGCATACTGAAACATAATACATGACACATAATGAGGCATCATTCGTGATAGGAAGAATATATGAACCATTACATTATAAAAGCAGAATATAGAATTACAAAATACGGTTGTTGTATGCCTACTACTGGTCATACATTTCTGCCTCGGTAGAGCGCCTTCGGCAGCTATCGCGTATAGATGTGCGACATTGAATCAACCAGAGCATAGCTGCGACATTCTGATGCGATGGACCTAAGCATTGCTGGCGGTCGCAGGCTATCCCACCAAGTCGGCGATTCGGCGAGCCCCGCGAGGCTGTGATCCAAAGGCGACCGACCGCGCCTGGAGATTGTGCCGAGGGGAAATCGCCACCAACACAGATACATTATGGCTGTGCGAACAATTCGCATAAAGTTTCGTCTGTCGCTGAGGAATCAGCTGGTAGGCAGATTTGCAGTATATTCCCCCCCAACCATGTTTGGGCTGGCAGGCTGTGCTTTCAGTTGGCAGTCTCGGGGTATACGGTATGCTCAACAGCGAAAGCCAGTGCCACTTTCTTGCCTCGAGAACTCCGCCTTCCTTCATTGCTTCTGTCAGTCAGTTCTGACTCCAGTCATTTCCATGATTGTTGCTTGACCACGAGAGGTGCAAGCGGTGTGGCGAGACGCCTAACGAGGTAGTTATCAGTAGTCCCCTGTGACGACGGTAACTCGTATTGCTCTGTCTAATCTGGTGCGACGGTTTCCAATCAGTGGCTTCTATCAGTTTATCTGCCTCTTGCTGTCAGTCGCTGATCCGGAATTATTTCAGCATAATCTGACTTTGCTAGAACAGCTATAATGTCGTTTCTATGACTGTTTTGACAATATATGTTGCCTCGAGAATGTCCTGATCGGTCTGGACCGTTCGTCAATCAGCGGCTGTAGTACTTTGGATGGGTGATTGCACGGTTTCTCTGGCGAGAGGTTGCATGAAAGATGATATCCGGGGAAATTTGGCCGGAGCTGCGGAAACGAGTGTACTGACGACGCCTGATCAGGCCGGGGAGGGCTGGCCTCTGCTACAGTCAGAGTCGTTTAAGCGCGCGTGCCAGGAGGTCGAGTTAGCTGACAGCCGTGCGATTTCTCTTCAGGATAGTCATGCTACAAGATCAACGGAAGCCGTTGAGATTACAATCGACGGTCCGGAACTCAGCACCAGCGAGACGACTTATGGCAAGGAGAGCAGCAGCAGCACTGGGTGGGGCATGGGCTTTATTGCAGGAGATGCCAGCACTACCACCACTACGGGCAACACGCGGGCCGAATGTGACTACAACGAGGTGAACAGTCCCCTTCCACCCGGTCCTTCGCAGCGCGATAGAGTTGCTATTCAGGTGCGTGATGACGAAACCAAGGCTTCGTTATTAACCGCCTCGTTTCCCGTCGTCGAACACCCTGCTTCAAATCTTAATGGTCTGCCGGTCACACTACCAATCTCAACTGCTGACGTCATCCTGGACGAGTCGTCGCCGTCGCTACGCGACATCGATCGCCATCCACTGTCGCCCCCGTCGTGCAGCGCCTGCACGTGCATTGGGACGTTTACCAGCGGAAATGGCACAGGAGTCGCCGATAGCAGCCAAGAGCGCGAAAACCCGGCGGAAGATGAACGGCTGGAAAGCGCGGGAAATTCATTCTTTGAAACGGAAGTGACATTAGCTGAAGAAGCGGAGTCGAGTCCTGGAGCGTCGGCGCCTCAAGGACCGAGGGGGAGAGGCGGTAGGAGGAGGCGGAGAACCGATGCGGCTAGAGGAGCAGGGGGAAGCGTGATGGAAGAGGAAAGCGGCGAGGTGCAAGTGGAAGGCTCCGAAAACCGTCGTCCACTGTCTGTGGTGATTCACGGTCCCGGCGCGTCCTTCTTTGTGGGCACGGAGTTGATCGCCGCTGGCGGGCGCGCGCGCACGGAGGGCGCGAGGGGAAGCGCGCGGGCACAGGGCGACCGCGGGGCTCCTGGGGAATCAAGGCGGGGAACTGAGAGCGCGCAGGTGGATGGTGCAGACAGCGGAGAGGATAATAACAGTAATGGGTATGGCGACAGCGAGTATGACAGCAGTGAAATGGAGCAGGAGGAAGAGGGGGCGAGGAGGAGGAGAGGGAGGAGGAGAATAGAGGTGTTGATGGATCGGTGCAGAGGCGGCGTGGATGCCGTGGTGCGGTGGGGACGCAACAGACGACAGCACCTACGAGGGACGAGAGGGTTGGCTCGTGGTGGTGCTGGCACGTCAGCAGCAAGAGGTGGGGGTACTTCTGACTCTGGCGATGCTGATACCGAGAGTGACTATGACGAGCGCGATTCGGAAGACAGGGAAAGGGGCTGGGCGCCTTATGATGAGTGTGACGAAAATGAGGGGTATTGTATGGAGTGCCGGAGGAGCGCTGATGGGGAGCAAGGAGCAGAGGCGAGGAACAGGCAGCAAGGATGCGCACATGGGAGTGTGGGGGGGAATGGGGACGGGGCTGAGCAGGAGGAGGGAGGGGAGAGCGATAGCAGCGCTGTGAGCTGCAGCAGCGGGTACAGCAGGAGCAGTGGGGGGGAGAGCAAGGCGAGTGCAGACAACGATGGTGACGGTGCGGAGGCCGCGCTGCTCGACTTCCAATTCGGTAAGCCTGCTCTGCGTCCAGGGGGCTGTGCTGTTGCTGCACCACGTGCTTCCATAGAACACTAGTTGTGCTGTCCGTCCCTAACACCCTCTGCTTGCCACTCCTTTTCTTGCTTCCGTGCTTCCATAGCCCACCCCCCCCCCCCCCCTGTTGTGCCTTGCCTCCTCATCCGCCTCCCCTCCTCCTCATCACCCCCTCTTCTCCTTGTCTGCGCCAGCTCCGCTGCTGGAGGCGTCAGGGCAGGCGGAGGGAGACATGTGGGTGGAGGCGGTGCACGTGGTGCTGCCGCCTCCACCTGCCAGTGCACGGGGCGGGTGGGAGGGAGTGGACGTGGCGGGAATGGAGGCGATATTCGACCAGCGGTGTGTGAAGTGGTTCCAGCGTGTGAAGCGCCTGTTCATCGCGCTGCTGCTGCTCGGCTCCATCTTCTACATCGTCTCCTTCATCGGTGCACGCCCCGCCCCTGCCCCCGCCCGCCTCACCACCTCGCTTGCTCTCAAGTGTTGCCTGCTGGCGAGTGGACACTGTTTCATGATATCACGTTTTGTGAACGACTCGCAATTGGCTTCTTCGGAGGAGAATGTTTCGTGTGCCACACTTCCCTGACTGTGTGATGCAATGCGCACTCTCCAGCACTGCTTTCGTTCCATGGCATGCGTTGCTTTCTAAAGTGGCGCCAGTGTGTGCGGTTGCTGGCAGCAAACCGATGAGGTGGAATGAAACTAGCACACGGTAC